TTTGTATCTAACGATAACCAGGCCTGACATATCCTATTCAGTTCAGCTATTAAGTCAGTTTATGGATTGCCCCCGTATTCCACATTTGCAAGCAGCACACAAAGTCTTAAAATACATCAAAAGGGCACCAGGCCAGGGAATCTTCTATCCTACAGATTCACTGTTGCAATTACATGGGTATTGTGACTCAGATTGGGGAGCTTGTCCCAACACTAGACGTTCAGTCACAGGATATTATGTGTTAATTGGAAAGTCATTGATATCCTAGAAGTCGAAGAAACAACAAGTTGTCTAAAGATCGTCTTCAGAGGCAGAATACCAAGCTATGGCCAATTTGTGTTGTGAACCTACATGGTTCAGGTATCTATTAGAAGACTTGAAATTTCTTCACCCTCAACCTGCTTTTCTATATTGTGATAATAAGTCAGCCGTCTACATTGCAACCAATCCGGTTTTCCACGAAAGAACCAAACATATAGAGATAGATTGTCACTTAATACGTGATAAAATCCAAGATGGATACATTGTTGCCAAACACATTCCTAGCAGGGAGCAAGTTGCAGATATCCTTACCAAAGCCTTAAGCTCTCAAACCTTTTATTCATGTTTGTTCAAGATGGGAGTAATTGACATATACTATCCATCTTGCGGGGGGATATTGGAAAATAATCAGCCAGGCAAACAAGGACTAGCAGCAGACAAGGAACGACCATGCTGCAGGACCACCAGCTAACAGAATTGGGAAGATTCTAGATGAAGATTGTTAGGAATTTTGTTAGCAATTTGTCTTAATTATCGTGTGACTTATTCTTCTAGAATGATGTAAATTCTCTGTATATATTCTTGGGTTATTTGTACATTTTGATCATCAAGCAAGTTCAATACAATTATTTAATTTTTGCTTCATCAACTTCTTGTTTTATATTTGCAAACTTGAAAGTATATGTATGTATTTCTATATATAATCATCATTATTTATAAGAGGTATAGTAGCTAAAAAATCACGAATATTTCACCAGAATATTGCAATTAAGAATAAGGTTGTGGCGGCAATGAATTTTTGCAAACATTGAGCAATGAAATTGAATGCTACAACATTATTTTGGTGGTGGAAGCTGCGGCCTGAACGTCGTGGTGGTGGTGGGTAGGTGCAGGTTTCGGTGTGGGAATCTAATATGAATTATCACAATAGGATTTTATTAGACCATTGAAATCTAATGCTTCAACATCATTTTGATGATGGCAACGGTGGTCCAAGGAGGATAATTTATTTATTTATTTATTTTATTATTTTTGCACTATGCTAATCTATAGAAGAAAAAATTTAATAAAATTTAATATTTTATTTATAAAAAAATAATTTAACTTGGGCTGCCCTTGGCTAAAGCCGAGGTTACTCCTATATATGATTCTATAACCGTACGGTGGCCCAGACGTGGTGGTGGCGGAGGAAAGTTGGTGTAGGATTTTGGGGTGGAAAACTGATTTCAGAAATGTATAGTAGGGTTTTATTAGAGCATTGAAGTCGAATTCTGCAACATCGTTTTGGTGGCGGTAGTAGTGATAGAGGTGGCCCAAATTTGGTGGTGGTTGTGGGTAAGTGTAGGGTTTTAGGTTGGAAATATGATTTGAGTGGTGTACAATAGAGTTTTATTAGAGCATTGAAATCGAACACAGCAACATCATTTTGCTGGTGGTAATTGTGGCCCAAAAATGGTGGTGACGGTGGGTAAGTATAGGATTTGAGATGGAAATCTGATTTGAATGGAGTTGTGCTGTGGGTACATGGCAAAACCCCCACCGATACATCACAATAAGGAGGGATGGTGGGATTTTTTTGTTAACTTTTTTATTACCATGCCCGCATGGGCCACCCATGTGAGGGTGTGTAAAACTTCTGTGAAACCTATTTTTGTACATATGACTTTGTTCGATTTGAATGATGTATAGTAAGATTTTATTAGAGCAATGAAATCGATCTCTGCAACATCATTTTGGAGGTGGCACTCGATAGTTGTATGGTTTGAGGTGCCATTTGATTTGATTGATGTACAGTGGGATTTTATTAGATATAAAATACGTATTTTAAAATAAATATATATATATAAGGGTGATACTGCACGTAAATAATGAGGTGTCCATAACGGTGTCAACTCCCTCACATGGAGGGGGATCCACTTCGAATAAAATATAATATATCCAAAGTGGGTCACCCTCCATGTGAGGGGATGGACACCGTTATGAACAGAACATTATGTACAAGTAGCATATCCCTATATATAATTGGTTGCAAGAGAATTTGAAAATAAACAATGAAGTATTTTTGAATTCATTGTTTAGTTTTTAGATTTTTACTCATATTCAATTATATTTTTAAATAATTACTTATTTTACAAATAATTAAAACATATCAAACACCGCTTATATATGATTCGCACCCTAAATCTTAGAAACACAACTCACCGTCACCTATCACCACCACAACGATTGGAGTAGAGTCCACCATCAACTTCACCACCAAAATGATGCTGCATCATTCAATTTTGATGCTCAGTGTTCGCAAACTTCATCGAGTTTCATCTATTGACTACAATGCTCACATCGAAAATTCATGATTTTGAACTAATATCTAACGCGTATAAAATTATAATGATTGATACACATAGAAATACATACATGTCCACACATATTTTTGTATGTACATTGATAGAAGAATCAAGATGGAGAAGAATGGGGAGCATGAAATCAGCAAGGATATTAATTTATACAACTTCGATTATTGGGGAAGATTTTGTTGGATGGATATGATGTATGGATTGACAAACAAAAGCCCGTTGAATTTTTATCAAGCTTCTGCTGAAATTTCAGCAGAGTAACTGCAATGAAATTTCAAATGAATAATACCAAATGAATGCAAAGTCGAGACAAGTGTTGAACACTTTGTCCTTAAGTCGAATTTGACACGGAACAGTGCCTACAATTTATGGCAATCAACTACCAAGATACAAAAACTTCTTCTTGTGTGAGTAACACTTCAACACACGAGCAACGAACCAAATTTGGTTTATGTACTCCTTAATGCAAAAATGAAGAAAATCAGAATTTTATGCAATATATATGCAAAATTTGATAGAGAGAGAGAAGAGAATGTTATACTATAATTGCATATCATTGGTGTGAAGAAAAGGACATCACAAGGGTCTTATTTATAGAATATAAGGGGTTGTGGACGAAGTGTTGCGAGCCAATCTCGCAACTTTACGAATATAAGAAAATCTTGCTGTCGTTGACTTTTCGCTCGAGCGATAAAAACAGAATTACTACCGCCTACCTATCGCTAGATTGTTGCTCGAGCGACAACTTCCTCGCTCGAGCGACATCCGAGCGATAGGCGGGTGACAGAGATAGTCACTTTCTAGCCAGTTTTTCCTCTATTTTCTTTCCAACTTTCGACCACAATTTCTCATTCATCCATAATTGGTTTTGAGATTCAAAATATATTACGACGATTTACTCGACGAGTAGAACAAGTTGATCCATCGGATCAAGTCAGAATATTTGTTCAAAGTTGACACTGAGTCACTTGTTCAAAGTTATACTTAACCAAAATTTTGATTTCTTTAAACTAATTCCACCAAATTCGGCGGGCCTTCTTATTTATGTACAAAAATTGGTTCCAATTTCTAGTGTTCATATACGTTGATGATCAGGCTGTTAGTGGTTTCAAGGATAAAAGAAATCCAACATGTGTTAGCTTTTTATTGATCAAATAAGTGTTTGGTGGGGATTAAAATTAATTTTTTAGTAAATTGTGATAGAAATTTTTGACATGTGTGGTTGAAAAGTTACGGGACACATGAAAGATGTGGTTAATCTTGATTATTTGACTTTTACTTGGATTAAAATCTGATTTTAATCTGAAACAAATAGAGCCAAAAAATTATTACAATTTATTAAAAAGGACTTTATAATATACTTTCGGTGATACAAAAAAATCACTATACTTTAAAAAATCAACCTGCTTACCTAATAATAATTGCTAATAGAAAGTTGTGAATACCTTGTAATAATTATATGATATCAAAATATAAATAGATAAATTTGGTAGGACATTATTGAGAAAGTTTTCTTTTTATTTTTTGGGAAGCCCAAGATTGCTAGTGGTGTTCATTATTAATTTTGACAAATTATAATTATCCAAATAATGAATTACTTTTTGAAATAATTTGTGTATTTATGAGTGGTTATCCAAATATTGAAACATTAAGGCCTTACTTTGCACTAATTGTGCAATTAAGAATGAACACACCTATTAATGGATTAATTAATTTTTGACCTTTTGTGGAAGGTTAATGCATTATTGTCTAAGAATGGAGGTCCACTTAGGGGAATAAAAAATGATTAGTTAATTAATTAATAATTAAACAGTTCTCCAGTTGTAGAAGTGGAAAACTGTACCAATGACATTGGATTCCATATCCAATACAACCTAGAGGGTAGCAAAAGAGATGCTAATCACAGAAGTTTATTATGAAAGTTTTTCATCTTTGTTTCTATTGATATATTAATATTTTACTCTTGATTTTGGCATAATTAATGAAATTGGAAATGTGATGTATTGGTTTGGCATTTTGCACAATTTGGCATATAAAATAATGAGCATCATAGATTAAGATGTTTTAATGGTTAGTATTAGCTCATAAGTGTCAATCTTGACCTTGATATATAGGTCTCAATTGTCATTAAAGTTTGACAATAGTCTTGTTCAAAGAGGATTACATATGCTCAACAAAGATCTCCATGACTAATGCCTCCCTTGAGTTTTTATCACATATGAAGATTATTTGTGAATCTTCGAACGAATATGTTTACTGTAAAATTACTTTTTCACCAATCTCCCTAATAGAAACTCCATCATTTGATCTCTTACCACAAGGATATATACACGCACACAATAGAGGAAAGCTTGATATGGAGGTGAGGAATGTAGAATAATTGCGATGGGGGAAGGGGATTCAAGCAGGTAAAGGTTATATTTTTAAATTTAGAGGTGAATACGAGCAATAAGTGAACATAGGTTTTAAAAAATTGGTTTTAACTAAGTTTTTGAGAGAAGGACGTCGAGCGTTGAGATTTTCTTTATTTTATTTTAGTTATTGAAATTATGTGTGTATTAAACTACTTTATTCTTTAACAATAATTAGCATGCATTTTCACGCGACTTTTAATGGCTTGATTGATGGTTTTAATTCAATTGGAATTTTGAATGGTATAAAGAATTAAATAGTCGCATACCCAAATATCTAGGAAAATAAATTGGAAAAATTATGGTTAAGGCTCCCAACCTTTCAAGTCTTGTAATTTTGGGTCTCTAACCTTTAGATGAGATGTTCTGTTTAAATATGTAAATATTGGTCCTCTCGTTATGGAAATCAATCATGTTATGATGCTAAAGAAGGTTTGACACCCCTACCCCCCTAACAGGCCCCTCACAATAGGAGGGACCTGATTTTTTTATTTTTATTTTTTTGGCATTTTTATTCACTTGTAACTCATTTATGTCGGTATATGTCAACAATGATTATATTTTCTTTCTGACAAAACATCATAATTCTATGAAAATGATCAATGTGGGTGTTAAAATTGCATATAACTCTCCTGAATCAAAATGGATGTTAAGTGATTTGACGATTTTATCTCCAACTTTAAGTTACGTAAATATTATTTATAAGATTAATGTCTAAATGGACGGTGTAAGTCACATGAAGACTTAACCCCTGTTAATTTTGATAAAAGTTGATTAAGCCCTTGTTTGAGCTCCATTTTGGGGAAAATGCATTTTAGAATAGTAATTTTGAGAGAATGTGTGATTGAAAAAGAAGAATTTTTTTTACGTTTAAATTTATTTTATTGAAAAATATATGGTTGAAAATAAATTTTAAAAAATTGGACTCAAACAAGGGCTAAATATATGATTGAAAAGATGATAAAAATTATTTGTTCCATGAAAAATATGGTTGAAAATGAGTTTATGAAATAAATAAATTTTAAGAAAATGGGGCCAAATAGGGATTTACATTCACATATTTTAAATAGATTGAGGACCCAAAATTTCACATTTAAAGATTAAGGAACCAACCTTAGATTTGACAAATAAATTTGGGATTCAAAAAGGATGAGAAGTTGAGAACCAATTGAAATATTTCCATTTAGAAATATCCAACCACAAACTTCAAAGGGCATAAAAGTCATTTCAAAATCCTACCAACTACAAAATGCCACCTGGCATACAACATATACACCGGAAACACATCAAGAACAACCCGGCGGTTGCAGGCAAAAATGGTTGGAGATAAGTCCCCTTCTCCTTTCCTATGACATTCCACCTCTGCACTTTACCATAAAAAATTCCCTTCACGTGAAATCTTTAATCTACCCTCAGTCTTTTCATGAATCCACCTCTGTCCCATTCTCCCCCATACACCAAATATCTTCTATATAGACAGACCCACTCTTTTGAAAATCCATCAAAAGACAAGATTTTTCCCCTCCTTTAACATACTAGAAACACCCTGTATTAGGCTTTTGCTAAAGGTATAATCTTTCTTTAATCTTTTTCTGATTTTCTTAATTTTTATTGTTCGGTTCAATACTTATGTTCTGTCATTTTCTTGATTTATCTTTGATTTTGCATAGTTACTATGTTGTTTCTTTCACTTAATAATGAGTTTTGCTTGCGGGTTTATTGAGTCTTGATAAGTTTAGTTGAATATGTGAAGATCTGCAGTAGAATTCAAGAAATTTGTAGTTCTTTCGATCATTTCTGTAGTCAGTTTAAATGTTGTCAATTATCATAAAGACGCGATATAATATTGGATCTGTTGTTTGGACTTTTTGGACTTCCTTTTTTTATGAATGGATTGTTCGTCTGTTTACAAGTTTGATTTGTTTTTCTCTAAATTGCTGTAGTGTATTTTGGGAATTTGGTTGATTTTGTGTATTGCAATACACCTTGAATTGTTATGGATGGGATTCTTGAAGTAAATGAAAATGGAACTTCTGCACATCATGAAGGGAATCCAGTTGAAAATAACTCTGCTAATGGTGGGTTGACTTCCCAACGTCCTCCGAATGGGGACGTGGGACACCCGTCCCACCCGATTGATGGTGTGGAGGAGACGTCTATTGAGCAACTTTATGAAAACGTGTGTGAGATGCGGAGTTCTGATCAATCACCATCGAGGCCTAGTTTTGGATCGGATGGTGAGGAGTCTCGGATTGATTCAGAGTTGCGCCATCTTGTGGGAGGAGAGATGGTGGAGGTGGAGATAATTGAAGAAGATGAAGAGGTGCATAAGCCGGAGAATGTTGATCATCATAGTGATTCTGGATCCAAGAAAGAAAGTTTATCGGCCGGGAAATTAGATAATTCCATATCTGCAAGTGAAACTACCCCTTCTTCACAATCAAGGAAGGCTTCTCATTTGCAGGTGGAATCTGAAGTTTCTGCAAAATTGAGTCCTAAGAGCAGAAATCCGGAGAAACCTCCGCTGAGTGAGAATAGTGCTGGAAAAACAAAAAAGAACAAGAATTCAGCTTTGGGGGGTGTGAAATTGCAAAATAGAATCGAGGATCCATCTGAAGCAGGTTCAGACAATCTGGATCTTGGTCCATTTCTGCTCAAACAAGCAAGGGATTTGATGTCTTCGGGAGATAATCCAAGGAGAGCTCTTGGCTTAGCTCTCCGTGCAGCAAAGTCATTTGAGAAATCTGCCAATGGGAAGCCAAGTTTAGATGTTGTCATGTCTTTACACGTCACTGCAGCAATACACTGTAGCTTAGGCCAGTACACTGAGGCTATCCCAATTCTGGAGCATTCGATTGAGATTCCCACGATTGAGGAAGGCGACAACCATGCCCTCGCTAAATTTGCTGGTTATATGCAGTTAGGGGATACCTATGCCATGTTGGGGCAACTCGAGAATTCAATTTCAAGTTACACGACAGGTTTGGAAGTCCAAAAACAAATTCTTGGAGAGCTCGATCCAAGAGTCGGTGAGACGTGTAGGTATTTGGCTGAAGCTCACATTCAAGCAATGCAGTTTGATGAAGCTCAGAAGCTTTGTCAAATGGCTCTTGACATCCACAGAGAGAATGGTTCACCGGCTTCTCTTGAAGAGGCGGCCGATAGGAGACTCATGGGGATGATCTGTGAGTCGAAGGGAGATCACGAAATGCTAAGAAGCTTTGTCAATTGGCTCTTGATATTCACAGAGAGAATGGTGCTCCATCTTCACTTGAAGAAGCAGCCGATAGGAGACTCATGGGGATGATTTTTGAGTCGAAGGGAGATCACGAAACTGCTCTCGAGCATCTTGTATTAGCCAGCATGGCCATGGTGGCTAACGGGCAGGAATCCGAGGTGGCGTCTGTTGATTGCAGCATTGGGGATACTTACTTATCCTTAAACAGGTATGATGAGGCAATTTTTGCTTATCAGAAAGCACTTACATCTCTCAAGACGAGTAAAGGAGAGAACCATCCAGCGGTTGCGTCAGTTTTTGTCCGTCTTGCTGACTTGTATAACAGGACGGGAAAGTTAAGGGACTCGAGGTCGTACTGTGAGAATGCTCTTCGAATTTACGAAAAACCCATGCCCGGGATTGCTCCAGAAGAGATCGCTAGTGGTCTAACCGATATATCTGCTATTTACGAGTCAATGAATGAGCTCGACCATGCACTTAAGTTGCTGAAGAAGGCACTAAAGATATACAGTGATGCACCTGGTCAGCAAAACACAGTTGCTGGAATCGAAGCGCAAATGGGAGTTATGTATTATATGTTAGGAAACTACTCAGAGTCCTACTCCTCGTTTAAAAGTGCGACTACAAAGCTCCGCGCTAGCGGGGAGAAGAAATCTGCTATCTTTGGGATTGCGCTTAACCAAATGGGGCTGGCTTGTGTGCAGCGTTATGCGATTAATGAAGCTGTCGAATTGTTTAAAAGTGCGACTACAAAGCTCCGTGCAAGTGGGGAGAAGAAATCTGCTTTCTTTGGTATTGCACTTAACCAAATGGGGCTAGCTTGTGTGCAGCGTTATGCGATTAATGAAGCTGTCCAATTGTTTGAAGAAGCAAGGGGCATACTGGAGCAAGAATACGGACCATATCACCCTGATACACTTGGTGTATATAGTAATCTTGCTGGCACCTATGATGCAATTGGGAGGTATGAGACATATCTTAATATTATATTGGTATTCATTAGCTATATTATATTTCTTGAACTTACTTAAATCAATGACTTAAAACTTGCAAACAGAACTATAGGATCTATATTTCTCAACGAAATGAAGATTGAATGGACCACTTTATGCAGCAAAGAAGTTTTACATTTTCTGAAAGAAAACAAGTATGCAAGGCCCTTTTGGTACGGCTTTTGGAAAGCAAAAAGCTACTTTTGAACTTGTTTGATTAATTTTCAAGAAGTGCTTTTGTCTTTATCTGGTTAGAAAAGCTTTTTGGCTTTCTCGAGAAACTGTTCTATAAAATATTAAAGCAGAAACTATCCCAAACAAGCCCTTAGATTACATTGACATAGTTTATAGGATGATTTGATGAGAGATGAGACTGAATTAGTTTTTCTTAAGTGTCCGATTTGAGGCGTCTTGCTAATATTTATTCTTTATACAGATTAGATGATGCAATTGAAATTCTTGAACTTATTGTTGGAATGAGAGAAGAAAAGCTTGGGACAGCAAATCCAGATGTGGAAGATGAGAAGAAGAGGCTGGCCGAGCTATTAAAGGAGTCGGGCAAAGCTCGGAATAGGAAAAACCGATCTCTCGAGACCCTACTCGATTCAAACCCTAATACAAACACTATAAACAACGGTGCCATTAGAGTGTGACAAAGGTATGTACATGATATCCAACACACTATTACAGATATTTATATTGCACTAAAGAAAAGAGATGAAAGGTATATACTTTATTCCGGGATTGCTTGATGTTCAAAAATATGTATTGATTCATGTTACGGTGCTTGTCAAAAGCGTCGTGTTTTTGTAATTTATAATTTATAATGGCGGTTTGTTGTACATTTTCAATGGTTATATACAATTATAAATAAAATGATTTTTCTTTTACAATCTATACGCGACAGGATAAATTGATGAGCTCAGTTGCATGTCTCTTTTCTTTAATCGTGTCCTGATCTTTTGAGTCGAGCATACAAGAAATTGATATTTCTATTTTGTTCTTACTTGAGATTGAAAAATCCTAATAGAAAGGGGAGGAAGACAGTGATTTAATAGCTGTAGGGGCCCTGCATATAGCCTATAATTGAGTCATCATCAAGATGGAACATGGTAGGTGTACTGTAACACTCGAGAGTTGTTTGTTACTAAAACTGACAATTTATTACAATGTTCTTTTGAAATAATACTGTGTACCAAACGAAGCTTTGAATTTGTAGCAATAATGCTTTTTAGTGGATGGTTTCTATACGAACGGTCCACATCAATTCCGCGTCAAATGAACAAAGCTCTCTTTCTTAGATCTGGCAATGTTCCCCCATAATTTATTTTCTAGCATTTTGTGTTGAAGTTTGGCAGTGGTCCAAATATTTATTAATAATATTTATTTATTTTTGTAGAACTTAGAAATTTGAAACTATCCATGGCTTTTTGGTCGAAATAATTAATTATGTTTATGTATAATTAAAAAAAAAAAAAAACATATTCAAACATATTAAGAAATATAAAGCTATTTAAAAGCAAAAATAAGCAACTCTTAAGCTTAGCCAAATATCCATGTTTTGAACAAAAGGTATTCCAACTAGTCTTTAAGAAAATAAATTGGGGGAAATTATTATTATTATTATTATTATTATTATTAATGTCTAAACACTACTAAAATTAAAAATATATCTGAAAAAAATGAATTAAATTACATAAATCTTGACCTCGTGAAATATTACAAACTTTAAACAATTGTAAGGGAAGTGGGAGCTAATGAACCAAAAAAATGCTAAATTTCGTGATAGTCTTTAGTCGTACTTATTGTGACGGCGTGCCTCGATAATTGTTCTTTAGGTATTATCCTGAAATCATCTTTAAACGATTCATGATCATTATTTAAGTCAAAATAAGTCAATTCAAGTCAATAATTAGCATGGAGTTGATAAGATGTATTCCTCGACCTATTGAACACTTTTATTGCATGAAGATTATGTATTCTTCGATCGGACTGCAGCCCGTATCCGCCCTGCAAATGTCCACTTTTTTTTAAAAAAAAAAAGAAATAAAATAGATAAACCCATGTACATTGACCTCAACATCATTTTTTAGTCTTTACTGACTCCACAACATCATAACAAAAATGTCTGCTAAATACTCTAAAGAATTTAACAATGTTAAACAATCTATTTTGATTCATTGCAAAAATTGACCTTTGTAATTGTTCTTATGTTGATTCCAAAGTCATGTCTACTAAATCTATATACTGAAATTGAACAGAGGGCGAGGATCCATTAGAGCGTTAATTCACACAATGGAAGACAATGGTTTGGTAGAGTTCTGCCAATGTGAAAAAAAAACCCATAACCATTGGTGAAGCATAATGTGAAACAATCTGAAAGTGTCTTGAGTTCCGTCTGCACAATATTGGAACAGCTATCACCATAGAACTCATGGAATTCAAACATGACATCGCCTTCTTTGTTATGAATCCTTCGATAGGAACTAATGTACTTGAAACAACCATCTATGTTCAATTTTGGCCAATCTAAGAGCATATCCAATCGTGGTGTTAAGTAAATCAAAATTGTGATTTGGATTTCCAAAGTGACAAAAAACCTCAACTGAGAGATGCAAATGAAATATAAATTGTATTTTTCCAGTTGAAAATATAAAAGTTTATACCTTTTTCTCACATATTTTTCATTGCATGTAAAACAAACAAATCAATTTAATCTCAAGATGTCAATAAATAGCAGTTAGTAGTTGATTTGATACTAATTGAAAGGTCTTTTTGTTTAACAATTTACCAAATTTGATTAAAGCCAAATTAATTACTTTATGAGAATTAAAGTAAATTGCATTAAGAAAATTGTGTGTGTGTGTATATATATATATATATATATATATATAACTTTGCTTCTAGCCACCTCTTTTCTTCTTGCTGCCTTTTTCTGTGAGTAAATATATATTTCAGCCACTAATGTATATATTGCCGCAATATTTGACTCTCTTCCAACCCACCCAATGTTTTGTATAATATCTATGTCTGTCGGTTCTCTAATTTCTCTCACACAGGCCACACCTTTTTTTTTTTTTTCTCTCCCACAGGTCACAATCCTAAAAATATGGAATACATCAACTATTTATAGGATCGATAATTATCTTTTATTATTTACAGTAGAAGTCCTCCAACTTTGACTTTTGAGGTGCAAGTGTTCCCGTACGCGAATTGCACGTGATTCTCGTGCATGGTATTGTTCAATTGTTGCATAGTTGATTTAAATAGTGATTGAGCCTTTGTAGTAATGAAGATAAATTTAGAGAGTTTGAGAGTTTAATGTCATTCCGTAATGTGCATCGATGGTGCCAAGATATGATCTTCAAAGTATTTATGCCTTAGGGGGTATTTTGGTGGCATCACCACCTCTACCACTCGAAAAATGCTAAAATCGAGGACAATACCATCATTTATTCCACCGCGGAGATGAATCACACAAACATCAAATTCTTCAAAAAAATTATGAGCAACAAAATCATCCTAACCTTTTTCAGTAAGTTACCATCACGTTGGTAATTGTATTTTGCTTTAAATGTATACAGTTCGGAACAAAATTTCAACTTCTCGAATGGACATTGACCCTTGCTCACTTAGAAAGGATAATTAAGAAGAATAATCTATAGACATGTGTCGGATGTATGACTAAACTGAATCGACTTTCTGATGATGCTGCATTTGCCTTTGCTTTTTCTAGTGCTTCATCTTTTTCCTCTTGAGCAACGGCCCTTCTACAGGATGTACACTTTAAGCGCTTATTTATTTCCCTCCTAGCCATTGCATTTGATCTGGTTTGTAGTCTTGATAATGTTGGTGTAGTTGCAGATTCATTCCTCAGATTTTTCAACTGAAATTTTAGTTTTCAATATCTACCTTATTCTACAGAACCATTTATTACTTTCGTAAGTGTTCATTTGTCAGATAAATATACTTAAATGTGGGCCTATCCGTGCACAGTAGAGTAGATATATTGCATTGTTCACAAGTTATAAATGAAAAGAAAAAATGGCAAGATCACAATAAAGGCAATAACAGCAACGAAGGAAAAGAAGATATTTTTAAAGTCACAGAAAAATGCGTAAAAGCAAGAAATCCTATCCCTTTTATACATGATGCCAAGCCAATATATATGGAAAAATAGTGGCCTGTTGGGGACATCCGTGTAAGTGGTAGTTCTTCCGCCTCTCTTTATTTAAATGTAGTATGATTAACTAAACTTCATTGTTGAGGTTTACTTATCATGGTTCTCAGGGGTATTAGTGTTATGCAACACTTTCGGAAGGAAGAAATGGAAGAAGTAGAAGAAATAGAAAACATATACATACGTGCAAGTGTGCGCTCGTCCGCGAACTGTACGTGATTCTCGTGCATGGTATTGTTCAATTGTTGCATAGTTGATTTAAATTGTGGTTGAGCCTTTGTAGAAATGACGAAAAACATAGAGTTTGAGAATTTAATATCATTCCGGAACCCGCAATGGTGTCAAGATATGATCTTCAAGGTACTTATGCCTTAGGGGGCATTCTAGTGGCATCACTACCTCTACAACTTGAAAAGTGCTGACATCAAGGATGATTACTTCATTTATTCCACTAGCAAGATGAAACACACATACATCACATTCTTCTAAAATATTGCGAACTAAAAAATCATCCTAACCTTTTTACAGCATGCTACCATCACGTCGGTAATGGTATTTGTCTTTAAATGTATCCAGTTCAGTGAGGAGAACGAAATCTCGAATTTTTGAATAGACATTGACCATTACTTCGAATGGATAATCAAGAAGAATCTTCTTTAGACATGCTTCAGATGCATGACTAAAGTAAAACTGTTTTCAGATGATGTTGCATTTGCCTTTGCTTTCTCTAGTGCTTTATCTTTTTTCTCTTGAGTAACGGCCCTTCTACGGAATGTAAACTTCAAACGCTTATTTATTTCCCTCCTAGCCTTCAAATTTGATCTGGATTGGTAGTCTTGAGAAAGTTGGTGTATTTGCAGAATCATTCCTAATATTTTTCAACGGAATATAGTCATCGTCATCAAAAATTCGTCCAAGACTTCATCAGTATCTTCATCATTAATTCTTCTAGGCACGTTAGTGTTTACCGATGATGTTGCATTTGCTTTAGCTTCTTATACTGCCTTCACCTCTCCAGTTACAGCCATACTACAGAATGTCAGCTGCAACCGATTTCCAGCAATCCTATTGCTAGAACTCCGTATGCCCTTACTGTTTTCCCTACGAGCCTTTGCATTAGCTCTGATAGGTAGTCTCCTTAGGCTTTTTGCTTATTGGTAGTCATCATCATTGTCGGAAGAATCAGTATCTTCTCTTGAGTTCTTGCTAGCACGTTGCTCTTTCCTTTTTAGCCAAATTCCCTTTGTAAGGCTCAAATGAAAACACATAAAACATATTACATATATACACAGTTTCGCACGTGCAAGTGCATGCCCACACAGAAACTACACGTGATTCTCCTACATAATCTTGTTCAATTGTTTCATTGCAGTGTAGCCTTGTAGTAATGAAATAAATATTTTAGTTTTGCAATATTGCTATTTTTGTTACAATTCATTTTTTGTTAAGATGGTTGCCTTTATTTAACAGTGTTTGGTTTATGATATATTTCCATTAATCTCCATATATGCCAGGATATAATGCCCAATTCTACTTTAGGCACGGATGTTACATCCACGTCATTCATGTGAAGACTCGCGAATGCTTGTCAAACTTATCGAGAAAGGATTTGAATTTTCTATTCTTGAATTAGGCATATGTATATTAGATAGCATTAGTAAAGAATTTAGAGAAGTTGTTCCAACATATAAGGATAAAATACCAGTTCAGTAGATCAATAGCCATGTGCTTCCCGATGTAAGGGGAACAAAAGTGGGGAGAAAAGAAATTTTGTGGAGATTTATGATGTGAAATATTTTATAACTAGACTAGATGATGTAGTCCAGGTAGCCAATCATATTTCACCTGCTGAAGTGGCAGTGAAAGTCCCTAATAAGGTCTCAGGTCTCCGAGGATTTCATAGCTTCAGCGATTGAATCCATATTCAGGACCAAATGAGACTTGAGGCGTGTAACTTACTTCTATTCCTAATGCCCAGCCAATGCAAAAGAGACCAAGAACGCGTATCAGTGCCTGGCAACATTTGAAAGTCTCAAGTTTCAAGAAGAACTGCAAGAACTCGAGGATGCGATGTTTCGAATACTACGAAGCCTAAGCCATAAATATGGCTGCTTTTTGGTAGCGGAGTGTGAATTTGTTGGGGGAATAAAGGCTACCTAAAACATGCTAGTAGTGAAAGTAAACTGTGTTATAAAGCACCACATTTCTTTCTGTTGCATTTTTGGTCCATGCCCTATTGCTATTTCAAATGATCCCACGAATAGATTTTGGTAAAAGTAAAAAAGAAATACTGCACAGTGAAAACGCGCTTGAAACTAATGTTGTGCGTGCATAACATGTGCATATATGTGTGATTGAGCTTGTTAGTTCTTTAATATGGAGATAGATAGTCTCAATTGTATATAAATGCTTACATTTCAAAAATATTTAACACTTCTATAAGGGATACAGATCATCCATCGTAATCAAGGTTTATCTAGAGAAACCAAAGTAGCTAGTATGTGGGCCACCTTATTCCTGCTGCATGGAATAAAATGACAATGGCCAAACCTAACATCATGAAATAAAGAAACAATATCAAAAAGTATAGGCGCATTCGGAGCCATAGAGAAGTCACTTCAGACGTTGTAGTGATTCACATAAAAATGGGGCTCAAACAGGGCTATAAATTGGGGTACATTCTTCAACGAACTATTAGTTTGATGTCTGTCATCAATTTTTCCGATATTGTATAAAATTTCGGACAAATGATGCATTAATGGCATTTAGAATGCAATATCAGATTTGAATGAACGGTACAATGAGAAAAGGAAAGACTGGAGATACAGATCGTAAAATGTTCACCTTCCTGCATCTTTGTTCACATGGGAAGTTCATCAATTGTCATCTCAATATAAGTAAACCTTGCTACATAGTATATGGAATAACTTATCCAAACATGATAATTTCATGAACTCCGTACAAAATGCAGAGAAAATTACTATTGATCTACTGCTGCGAATATACAATATCATAATTCAATTGTGATCAAATTTTCATGCAGAAATTTCTCAAGGATATACGGTTGCATACTGATGCAAAGATCAAATTGAATCGCGGTTGCAGAGCTTGTAACCTGATATGACAGAACTAACAGCGAAGGCAAGAAAAGCCACGAACGACATCGCCACAGATGCACTGGCGAACAATGTGAACTCGTCCTGTCCCCAATTCATTATCCAATCATCCACCCGGGAAGCTGCCGAGGATGATGCTGACATTAGAAGGTAAGCCAGTATCTGCCAAACACGAATAAGAGCGTCCTTTTAGAAAAAGCACAAGTGATAAATTGGTGGGTTGTTCAAAGAGCAGAAAACGGTGAGTGTCGTAAAGTTTAGAGTAATTTTCCTACAATACTTGGAGATTTGGGTTAGTAAAATTCTATATGATAGTTCAAATTTATCATATAATGAAATCTTTGACAGCCCGTAAATTTTTCAGTCTTATTTCTATGTATTTTTCTTCATTTTCGAACACTGATTAGGCTCCATACAATCCAACAACTTCAAGTGGGAATCAGTGCTTGTGTAACAAAGCCTCAAAGTGAAAGTACCAATTTCTACATTGTTTACAGATATCATGTGAGAAAATTACTTGCCTGATCCGATAAGAAATCGAAATGGTATCGTAGATAATCAGAGATGACGTGATTCCCCGTGGCCAAATGATAGGCCAGAACAACTGCCTGAAAACCGGAATAGACGAATCCAGTAATGTTCACGAATAGACAGTACCTGCGTCGCAAAACAACATAGATAAACAGTTTGGATTGGAATAATTAGGAAGTGAACTTGATAAGATTTATTCCATTATGACACATCAGAGTCACAATCCTTAGCATTTGCATAAAAGAACATAACAAATCAGCTTAATTGTTATGGATTAAACACTTCATTCCATACTACCAATAGTGGCAAATACTAGAAACGAAAATCGAAGGCAAGAAGTAGACTCTATCTTGGGCTTCACAGTCGAGACAAAATGAAGTAAACTTATAACGATTTGGAGTTAAACGTCTAGGAACAAGAGGACTCTGTTCGGGTGGCTTTTCGTCGGGGGCTTGCGTGTGAAAACACTTTTTTCGCACCTTGTTTGATTCACTAACACTAAAATGTCCATCTCTTTAATCTAGTATTTGTTCTGAGAAAAAAAAATGCGGGACTAAAATAGCGAAATTCCTCAGTATTTTCTTCTTTGTTTTTCTGGTAAAATGGAAAGAAGGAAACGTTTCTGCTTTTAAGACATAAAATCGAGAGTCAATAGACAACAATTTTATTATTCATTAATATTACCAAATTTCAATTTCATAAACAGTATAAAAAAGAACAAATAAATTGAGAATCAAAACAAAGAATCGTACCTGTACTCTGTATACCGATCAAATGAATCGCCACTCCACCCTTGAGTTTTATCGGCAGCCATTACTGTGAACGAAACCAAGCAAGCTATCACTTCAAACACTCTAAAAAACAATGCTACTTTCTTCACTTTCGACTCCGATTTCGACCTCTTCAATATCGACTCCACCGCCTCCCTCGACTGCCTCTCTCCACCCGCTTCATCCTTCCCACCACTACCTCCACCGTACCCCTCCTCCACCCCACCAATATCTCCCCTCACTTTTTCCACCTTCATCACTCCCGGCGGGGGTTCATCCCTTACATACCGGTTAAGCCCCGATACCGGTAGATTACTAGCACCACTCCGACCGTTCTTCGCATGAAAATCAAGATTTTCCGACGTGGGCCTTCCTGAATGTGGCCAAGGCTTAAATCCCTTCCCTCTAACAGCCGGAGAACTCGCCGGTAAATTGGGTCTTCCAGGCGGCGATGGAGTGTCAACAGCAACAATAGCTCTACTACTTCCATTACTACACTTATCATTTTCAACATGAGAATCATCTGAACGAAACGGTGATTCAGGTGGTAGAGAATGAAAATCTTGTTGACTCGTTGTTGAATCAGTATCGGACATTGATGTATGACTACCGATTCTATTCAAAGATTTACCTGAATTTTCCATTCAATTTTGCTCTTAAACTACTTTTATTATTCCGAAGAAGAATTGGAAAAGGAAGATCAAAGAAGAAAATGAGAAAGAAAGAAAAAGGTTATTTTGGAAAAAGAAAAAATAAAGTGAAAGATTTGTTGTTTTTTAAACTCCATTATTAAGGAAACTGTACAGTGGCATTGATCATCAACTTCATGCAAGAGAATAATTTTACAAGGATTTTATTGTATGCGGAGAAGACCATGAAATTTCGTTTTGAGAGTCTTTTTTTTTAAACGTGACGAACTGTGATTCGTCAAGTTAGATTCTCTACAAATCATTGAGGAATCAATTATTTCCAAGTTTTTTTTTCCTTTCATTAATCATCCCTAAGGTATATGGTAAGTAGAGATTCCCACCTGAAATTTTTGAAATGTCAATATAGCCTCCCATATTTGGATTTTCATGTAAGCATGTCCTGAATCAGTTAATGTTCAATTTTTACTGTCCAATTTATTATCCATTCAATTAGTTATTAACACATTATTTTTAAATTAACATGACATATCAGATTTAACTTCATTAATTTCACCACTAACTCATCAAATTGATGGCATGTTAATTTAAAAATACGTGTTAATAATTAATTGGGTGAACAACAAATTGGACAACAAATCTCAAATATTCGTTCTGAATTGATCATTAGTGAGTCATACCACTAATATTTTCCTTTTATTTTCATTATTAAGCAATTTTTTCATTAAACAAATAAAATGCATACAAGAGATGTATAATAAAGGGACAAAAGTAATCATAATGTTAGCTCCTCGAAGCCACTAATATATATTAACATTGTCGAGGTGTAAGAGTGAACTAATTATTAAGCCTCCGTTTGGATAAAATTTTATAAATGGTTAATAATTTCAAACACACATTCCAACACTTATTTTTATTTACACTTCTCGTGGGATCCACTATTATTATACTTATTATTTCTCTTTATAAATTTTCCAAATAGATGCTAAATTTGAAAAGAATTTAACTTTGAAGTATATGGAGTCGTTTATCTTACAAGTAGACATCTTTTCGAAAGTGTTTATAAACAGATAGATATGAGTGGTGTAAAGTATATATTGCTTGTGGATCCTGTGAAGTATATGGATAAAAGTTGACTTAGAGTGTGTTTGGTAGGGATTTTTGGGGGAAGAATTGATTTTTGAATAGTGATATGATGGGAAATATGTGGTTGAAAAAGAAGAAAAAAGTATTGATAAGATGGAAAATATTATTTTATTGAAGAATGTGTGGTTGAAAATGAGAATTGATTTACTGTAGAAAAATTTAATTCCTCCCAAACAGGGCCTA